ATCGTATGCAGCATCCGACACTCTTGTTTCTTGCGACATCACTTTCGCTACTTTCGATTCCAGAGGAAGATAAACGGCCAACGTTATTGCGCAACGTCGTTACCTCATTACGTTACATTATCTTGCAAAAATTTTGCGCGACCCTTCTTTTTTTCGCTTCTTACGATGACAGCTGGCGTTTATTGATTATAGATATTGTCGTTTTAGAAAATCGAAGACTTCACACTCGAAACTACTCGTAACGGCTCGTCTCTCATTCATTCCTGACAACTCGACGGATTTGTTCCACATGCTGATTTTTCTCTTTTTAATTTTAAATTATTTTTTACATATAAAGAATTTCCGTTTTTTCCTACCATCGTATCTCTACAACGGAAAAGCCTTCAATCTTATACATAATTATTTTAAGGCTATTTAAAATTCCACATTACAATAATGTTGTTTTAATTTCATCGACTGATAAATTTTTGAACAATAAAATTTTTGCACTGAGATAACAATTGGATCGATTTGATGCTTATTAGTCGATGAACTTTCCAAGATTGTTAAAAGTACAAGGCTGTGTGAGGAGAGATTTATCTACATCCTAATAAAATTAAATTCACTGAGCAGGGTTACGACAATACACAGAAACCGAAAGTATTAACAAATAATATCGAGCGATAAGTAATTGAAATGTAATTCTCTCTTCCTTATATACGATAATTTATAAGTACGGATTATGTCAATGCACAAAGGCTGCCAATAACTCCCATTAGTGTATGTCGGAACACTTTCAAAAGCAACTTCTTCAATTCAAAAGACACTCGATTTTTTTCTCGACATTTTTTTCTCACCCTAACTATGCTCAACCATATCGTTTCTCTCTTCTTCATTCTTTTTTTTTTTTTTTAATTCCGCTCTTTCGGCTTTTCTAATCTAATTTTGGAATTTTCACAAACGTCATTGCGACATCGGTATCTCGATAAAGGTCTCCCTTTACGGTACGAGTGGCACAAGTTAATCACATACATGCTACAAAGAACACGATTCATCCCCATACGCTTTCATCCTTTCCTCTCGATTTGCTTCACCAGAAGGCTGTACTCCTTAACTAAGGGTAAAAGGAACGATGCAACGATTTCTCTCAATGATAGAATCGCCAGTTATTTCCTGGTGATAGTCAGTTTGTTCGATAGCCACTGCATAATTATCTAATTATTATTTCTCGTACTAACTTTAATCACATCAATTTTATCATATCAAAGAATCGTTGTATTGTTCCATTTAATCGACGGCCTCAATTAGCCCTTTTTTTACAGGCTTTTTTTTTATCGTTATGGCGCGTTTTGAGCGCGAGATAACGCATTGTCTCACGTGCAACGCCCTTTCAGCATCTCGTACCACCTTTCAATACGTTATACGAGGTAGGAGATTACTGTTGCTTAATTTTATCGATTACTCTTAACGCCCTAAGAATTACACAGCGAAGACATTTAATATAGAGACACACTTAAGACCATGCAATGCGTACATTTGTACATGTGTCGGTATATGTGCGTACGATATATGCACTTATTAGATAAGTCTCGAATCGCATACCGTCTCATCCCGTTTCGGAATTTCGTTATATACGTTGCACTTTCATATTTTCATTCTCATAGCTCCGTTATCAGGGATACCGTGACAACGCGTCAGCACGCGATGTGCTGTGTATGCAATATTACGCGGCGGTCATTCATTGACCATACCTATGTAATGCATATCAAAGAGTCACAGACAGGTGGGAGGAAGGGATGGAGAGGGGGGGGGATCCGTTCCGCCGTTGTGAAGCCGCGTAATCGGTTTCGGATTGTGCGACGCGAATCTCAGTATCCGTGAAAGTCAAAGATGGAGCGATATATAGAGTGTCGCGGAGAGAATCTGAATATCTCTTTCCAACTATAGATATATTAAAAGTTAGATTCAATGCTTTTTTTTTGATAACGCACATTACTAGATAAGACGTTGCTTGACATCGACAATCGAGTTTGTCGAATTAAGATTCAGGAGAGATCAGGTAAGATCTTTGTTAAAGTGTTTCCAAACAGATTTTAATGGAAACTCATATCGAAGGATATATTGTCAAACTATTTCGAGTTGAAATAATTAAATGCTACAAATATCTCAATGTATTTCATTTAAAAAAAAAAAAAAAATGAAAACCTGGAAACATTCGATATAAAGATTCGCAAGAATTCGGATATATCATTGATCATCAGATGTATGCGTCGTACATGTTCCCACCTACATATAAAACCGTTCCTAAGGTATCTTATCTTATCTTAATTGTCCCTAATCTTACCTTATCTAATATCCATATGTATTTGGGGATATAAATTTGACAACAATCGCGTATAGACTCTTTTCTGATTCTTTGGCCGAAAATAAGTAAATACCACAAGAAACTTTCTTCTCTAATCCGACGAAAATCTAATCAGATTTTTATTATACTATTCTTAAATAAAATTGATTGCACTTATTTTGGACCAAGAAATCCGTATCGTCGAAGTCACAATTTATTCGGATATACATGTCGTTTTATCTTTGATGTCATAGTAGGCTCATTTTTTCTGAGATATCTTCCTTCGTATGTTACACTTTTCAAGCAGATTTTTACGGTTTCAGTTTGTGTCGAACAATGTCTTTAGATCACTGACCAATGCATCGCGCGCGCGTGTGTGTGTGTGTGTGTGTGTGTGTATGGAATATTAACCAAAAAATATTTATTTTTCTCCATAAAAGTTCAAAACAGATAATATAAATTTATAAAATAATTTAATATAATTTAACACAATATACACAATAAACTTTATAATAATGTGATGGTAATATAATATGTATGTGTATGTGTGTGTGTGTGTGTGTGTGTGTGTGTGATATTAACCAAAAAATATTTATTTTTCTCCATAAAAGTTCAAAACAGATAATATAAATTTATAAAATAATTTAATATAATTTAACACAATATACACAATAAACTTTATAATAATGTGATGGTAATATAATATGTATGTGTATGTGTGTGTGTGTGTGTGTGTGTGTGTGTGTGTGTGTGTGTGTGTGTGTGTGTGTGTGTGTGTGTGTGTGTGTGTGTGTGTGTGTGTGTGTGTGTGTGTGTGTGTGTGTGTGTGTGTGTGTGTGTGTGTGTGTGTGTGTGTGTGTGTGTGTGTGTGTGTGTGTGTGTGTGTGTGTGTGTGTGTGTGTGTGTGTGTGTGTGTGTGTGTGTGTGTGTATGGAATATTAACCAAAAAATATTTATTTTTCTCCATAAAAGTTCAAAACAGATAATATAAATTTATAAAATAATTTAATATAATTTAACACAATATACACAATAAACTTTATAATAATGTGATGGTAATATAATATGTATGTGTATGTGTGTGTGTGTGTGTGTGTGTGTGTGTGTGTGTGTGTGTGTGTGTGTGTGTGTGTGTGTGTGTGTGTGTGTGTGTGTGTGTGTGTGTGTGTGTGTGTGTGTGTGTGTGTGTGTGTGTGTGTGTGTGTGTGTGTGTGTGTGTGTGTGTGTGTGTGTGTGTGTGTGTGTGTGTGTGTGTGTGTGTGTGTGTGTGTGTGTGTGTGTGTGTGTGTGTATGAAAATAATAAGCTATGAAAATATTTTAAACATTATTTTTTTGTGAGAAAATCTCTATAAAAACATAAATTTACACAAAAATGTGCTTTATAAACAATATTTCATATTCTATCATCTAATATAAAATTCGTATTCTGAAATTCCAATGTCTCTCTTATTTAGTCCGTAACACAATCACGCTCTATCTTAAATAGTAAATCACATACTTTAAAAAAGCAATGCCTTCAATAATTTAATATGTAAATCTCATATATAATTTTGTATATTTTTTGATGGAAGATATATATATATCTTCAATATATATTGAATCGTGTGCCCTAAATCTGCAAAGTTAATTAAACGTAGAATTAATCATTATTTCAAGAAAGAATAATATTTACAATATTAATCTTACCTCTGATGTTCTTATTCTGTATTTCTAGCATGAAGGGACGCCTGAGAAAAAATTTTTTTCTTATTTAGATTCTATTTCGAAACGTTTAATTTTTCATGGTCGAAAAATACAAGATCTTAAAATCGTTGTCTCATCGTTAATTGGAAGTTCATCAAACCTCTCAAAATAAATTCATTTTTTTTTATGAAAATAATAAGCTATGAAAATATTTTAAACATTATTTTTTTGTGAGAAAATCTCTATAAAAACATAAATTTACACAAAAATGTGCTTTATAAACAATATTTCATATTCTATCATCTAATATAAAATTCGTATTCTGAAATTCCAATGTCTCTCTTATTTAGTCCGTAACACAATCACGCTCTATCTTAAATAGTAAATCACATACTTTAAAAAAGCAATGCCTTCAATAATTTAATATGTAAATCTCATATATAATTTTGTATATTTTTTGATGGAAGATATATATATATCTTCAATATATATTGAATCGTGTGCCCTAAATCTGCAAAGTTAATTAAACGTAGAATTAATCATTATTTCAAGAAAGAATAATATTTACAATATTAATCTTACCTCTGATGTTCTTATTCTGTATTTCTAGCATGAAGGGACGCCTGAGAAAAAATTTTTTTCTTATTTAGATTCTATTTCGAAACGTTTAATTTTTCATGGTCGAAAAATACAAGATCTTAAAATCGTTGTCTCATCGTTAATTGGAAGTTCATCAAACCTCTCAAAATAAATTCATTTTTTTTAAAATAAATAAATATAAGATAAAAATATAAAATAAAATAAATATTCCATTTTCTTTTAATTCATTGCGTTATTTGATTAAAAATGATAATGACACCCATAATGACGACGACGACGGTAACGACGACGACGATAATGACGACAATGATAATATATATCTATATATTCATATCTTTATTAATGTGTGTATATATATATATTTATGTATCATATAGTATATCGCCGATTAAATATACTTTTATATTATTGATATATCTGCGTGTATATATATATGTATATATATAGATATATAATATATAAACTTTTATTTAAATTCATTTACTTACATCTAATAAAACTATATATTTATCATACGGTTACATTGTCACATTTGAAAAGTACTTGTCTAGAGCATAGGGATGTTGGCGTTTCACAGATTCGTTTCAGAGCGGAAAGAACACTAGTGCGCCTACGTCACTTCCTACTGACTCAGTTCGTCCATAAACGCCGACGCTCCTTTCATAGAGACTTCCTTTCTTTTTCTCCTTTTCCCTTTTTTTTTTCTTTTTCTTTTTAACCCCTGGATATAGAGACTTTTTATATTCTCGCGTCGCGCGACGAAAGGCGCTAATGCAAAGACGATGCATCGCCGCGCAAGCGTGCGATTAACGTTGATCATTTTATACCCTACATCGATTATACGACAGCGAGAAACATAATGAGAAACAAAAAAACCTGTCTCCTACTATATACTTAGTCCCCCTAGTCTCTAAATGAGAAAGCTAGTCGTCAACGCGTACGTGACGTACACACCTCTCAAACTTACTGTCGTTTCGCAGTTATCTACGAGCCTATTTGCGCGAACCCGAACTATACGGTTTTACTTGGGAAAGTAAAATTTCAGTCATAAGAGAGAGAAGATGATATATAGCCGAGCTAGTATCCGAGAGCTCACTCCTCAATCGATTCGTTACTTCCCGTATAGCGGCTAGTAATCATTATCATTCCGTCAATCACACTTTGTGTGTGTGTGTGTATGTGACGAGAGAATATTCGTTTATAGAGAGTGTCGGAATTAGTCGAAAAAAAGCGTATATCCCTTGAGCATTGATAATCTTTGTCCGTCATTTTGTATTTCGCGTCTTGGCGGAAAAGCGCTCGATCACATTATATAATCTTCACAATTGTTGCATAAGCCATGTTATGGAGTTTCAACGTCCGACTGACGTCTCTCGAGTGCAAAGGGTTGAAATAATACTTATTTGTAAAACGCGACATCAATAGTGTCAACATGTGTTCTATATCTATTATAAAAAATAATGAGTTATTTCTAATTTATGCGAGAATTATTTGACGAAAAGCATTCGTAAAGTACGTAAACGAGTGCGAAACTCGACGACGATGCAAAACACATTGCACTTTTCGGGTGATTTATGTATAATAGTAAAAAAAAAAAAAAAAAAAAAAAAAGCAGGAGGCACACTATTTCTAGAAAACGACAAAGAAGCATCTTCGAGATACTTTACGATACGCCCGACGATAGAGAACACTAAACGGAATTTGTTTCACGAAGAAGAAGAAGAAGAAGAAGAATCGCACATTCGGGGCATATTCGGGGTCTTAAGGCCACTTCGTCGATCTAATATCCTATGTGAAAGATCGCGTGAGGGACGAGTTTGCCGCGCGAAATCTCACAATTGCATTATAGTACGTATGCGTGCATGCAAGCTCATCGCGCGCACGCATATGTACGTGTGTATCTTTTCCGATTGGAGACGGGAAAAAGTATATGAAACGAAAACTTGGAAAAGAGGTACAATTAATTTTTACTATCTCCTAGGAATTTGTTTCTGTGAATGCGCAATCACGTGGTCAGCAAATGCAAATGTGGACTTTCTTCTCACACCATTTCGACTTTTTTTCTTTCTCTCTCGTTTTCTTTCACTCTTTCGTTTCTCACACATTCTCTCTTTCTCTCACTCTCTGTATTCTTCTCATACGGATAAAAATATTAAGGCAAAATATTCATAACTTACACATAAAGGACGTTTGATTATGTTCGTTAGATGTCTCTCTCGTTTAAGAGTTACAGTTGTTATTAAAAATACTCGCCACTTTAGTTTACCATTATGAGATTAGTAACTTAGCGCCTAAGTGTTAGCCTTATCGTTACTTAAATAACGTTCACGCCTTAAAAAAGTCATTGGATTGAATGCGTTAGCTTGTCAGTTATCAAGCTTCGCAAATTTCTTTTTGTTCTTTTCTTTTTTTTCTTCCATTTTCTTCTTCACTCTCGCACCTTCCTACGTACTATGTGCCTTCGTGCTCTTCGTCTATCATCGTTCATCGCGAATACCGTAAAGCTCCTCGAAACGCGATTAACGCGATTAAATTAAAATCCGGATTAAATAAAACCGCGTTACTCAATTGATATTCAGTTCTGCACCGTATGCACTGGCATTTTTTATTACTAGCGTAACGTGGAAAAAAAAATGAATTGAAATGCAAGTCTCATCTCCATTTATATACCGAGCAAAATTCGACTTTTGTCTATCTAAAATTGCAATCGCAACTCTGTTTGATCGTGCTGCTTTTGTGGCTCGTTTGACTCCGTCGCGTTATTTTCCGCGTTCTATGGTTAACCTTTGTTGACCCTGTACACTCGAGGTGGCTCAGTCGACCGGGGAAATTCAGGGCGACGTGTTCGTCGAGAGCGAGAAAGCTTTCACCGTCACCCACGCGAAGCACGACGTGGATTCGAGTCAAAAGCAGCTCGAAATTCCTTCGAGCAAGAGAAATAATTTTTCGCCGTAATAACCCTTCCGTTCACGGTGTCACGTACAGATCCACGGAATCCGCAAGGATGGGTATTATTCATATTTTCCGTGTACGTGTATGCGAACACCCATGCAAATTCTGGTCGATAAATAATATCGGAAAGAATGTTCAGCACAATATAATTTGTACATACTGATGTATATAAAAATGTTGCATGGTGCATTGCACTGCGTTTCAGAAAATGAGATATGTTAATAGCATATGTTCCTACTTTTAATATGTCATGTTATCCTGAAAAATAATATTTGTGTTAATTGTAACGCTGTTTTCAAGTCTGTAATCGGTCCGGTTTTTTTTTTTTTTTTTTTGTTACATATTTGTATTACTGATTGATATTTACGATTTTTGTAAATTTTACTTTGTTTACTTTATATTCGAATAATGTTTTATTAATGTAGAAACGCGATAAAATTTTGCATATATAAAATAAAAAAGTACAAACAAATAATTGATCATTTTTTCTATTTGAGTTCTGTACGGGTATTTAATTTAAAAAAAATTGACTAGTATATATAATGATTTTTTAAAAAACATCCCAGAGTTTTTAATCTTTTAATCCAATCATCCTATCGATAATCGACAACCTAGGTAAACGATCATCGAAAGAAGAGTAAAATCTAAAGAAGAAAGATTTCTGTGAGATCTAATCAGATGTCAAATACCATTATTATACCATTTTTTTTTTTTTATATGTAATACCATTATAATACCGTTATAATAACCATGTCAAATATAGTTTTCGCTCGACACCTGTCGAGATGTCAATTTCATACACGATAGAAATGCTCATGGAAATCATTCCCGAGATATCAGAGAATGAGCCGTCAATATCGGGCGTCTTTTAGTTATAATTTCGATAATTCGTAATTATTCATGTTTTAATATGTCAATCTCGCTCCGAATCAACGAGAACACTTGAAATTCACGATAATTCTTATATTTAATAAATCGAGATTAAGTCAATCGTGTCGATAATGTTTATGAAGAAACGAATGATATTATTACGGAAACTTAATCGGTAAGTAAAGTCAAGATCGACTGTATATACGTTATCACAAAGCACTTTCCCGTTTCTCAACGCTTTTCGCGATGTTCAAGATACGCGAACACATCGCGTCTCTCATCTTTTTAGAAGAATGTTTTTTTTTCTCTTTTTCTTTTTTTTATTTTCCTTAGAAGAAGCACCGACTAGGTAGAGCGATATTACGTTCTCGAACTTCACCGTCTAGAGATTAGAATACGATCGAAAAATATGTGCGAATTGATATTGAGATTTTTTTATATTATTGATCCCTCGTAAGTGCGCTCGCGATCGATCTTACGAAGTCGCCGGCCATTTATAATTCGGTCGTCGCGATTTTTCTACGTCTTGAAAAAAGGACGCTCGATTTAATCCTTCGAAGAGCAATGATTAATATCGAGCGAGTTGGAGAGAGCCGACAAACTCTTTCAGGTCACAGTCGAAAAGAACGCGATTTACAGTCCCGTGGCTATCGATTGGTATTGGACAGTATTTATATCGCGTATGTGTGATAAATACAGTGGTACACGTCCCATACCCGCCAAGATAATACTTTAATATGAGATACAAAAATTCAATCAGGTATTTTTCCATCCATTCGATAATTAGATTCTTTCATCTACTTCTGCCAAAAATTTCGTTTCTATACTGCGCGAATTAATGTAGCAAAGCTTAAATCTAATCGCAGATAAACCCTAGGAGAGTACAGAATACAGAAATACACCGCTATATCTCCGTGCTTGTCACGTGTATATTGCACATTTATCGTCGTTATATCGTTATAGACAATGCTGCTTATAATCGGTTCCAATACATTATCGTACGAATCACAAGGAAATGAGGACTAAAGGCCTAAAATAGTTTCGTGTAATCACTAGAAATCAAGACTGTCACGGATTCAACTTATCGTCACGCTCAATTAATCCTTAATCGGCATGAACTTATAAGAATCTACTTAGCGCAATTAATCAAAAATTGATCACGCTGTTGGTGTGTGGGAAAATGCATTTTTCATTTAATTTTCTTCGTGAGATCTTCGAAATTTCATGTCCAATACTCTTTACGTTATCAGCATACTGGAGAGAGAAGTGCCTTCGCGCAGCATCAGTTAAAGATTAAATAGTTAATTAACAGCGAGGAACGAGAGAAGAGATGACTGGAAACAAGAGACTCCTGTCCCTCTCTCTACATAAAGGCGACAATATCGGGTCGACTCCTTCACGATCGAACGCGCATAGAGACGCTCGATATCCCTCTCGAGGCTTTCGTCTCGAGGTCGCAAGAACACAGAGAGAATCGCCGAGCGAAATTTGTACAGACCAGCGACGAGAGAGAGTGGCTATTACTAGATGAAAACCCTGCGAAAAGCTGCGAACGGTACTCGCGAAAATCGATGACTAGGTGTGTGTATCCGCGACTTTGTTCGCGATCGGAACGCGAGCGTGGTCAGTCTCGATATTCCGGAGACACGTTCACACAAATTTTCTCCTCCCTTTCATCCATGTGATCACCCCTCCCCTTCAGTCTTGCTAGATCGTCCATTAATCTGGGATGCCTCTTAGACAGTTGTGTGTGGCACTTAGTAGAGACAGTCTTCTACGACTTTTTTAAAATAAACGGAGCTAACGTACAAGGAGAGGGAGTTATCCAGAAGAGCGCGAGCGAAACCAAGCAAAGTCCTTCAAGATATAATCACTTCGCGCTGCGGATGTTGCCTTTCGAGAGATTCTCGGCTGCAAAACCGAAAAATTAACCGTCTATAACCCGGACGACTTCTGGAAAAGATGAACTCCCCCTATATATTTTCATATTGTATGGAAAATTCTCTACATACATATATATCATAAGTTTATAAATATTATTAAGTTTTATTACGTTTTTTAGTTTAATTACAGCAATACATTACGGTATCACTAATTTTTCCGTTACAAGTATCGTTTACACTGATATCAGGGTTATAGAAGGTTAATCATTGAGCGTGCCTGCTGAATCCTGGCGGTTGCATTATCCTAAAAATAGTCTGCTTACTTTCTATAAAAGTATTATTTGTGCTCTATCGATGAACTCAAGAGATCGCTCTCTCTTGAATCGAATACGTCGACAAAATAAAGATGTAGTAATCGTCGAGCGCATCTTACAGGCAAAACCCGTCATTTTGAGGAGGCTGATCCCGTTTCGTAAGAAAATAAGCAAAATTGTGGCTTTTTATACAGCGCTTCGGAGATAGGCAAAGCGTTGTTCCGAGAAAAAAGAATAATGAAGAAACTCTCGCTAATCTATAATTTATCCTAAACTAGAGCTGGTTTTTTGTACTTAACGATTACGAGAGCTTAAATAGCGCCATTTCAAGTAATAGCAAAGTGAAAATAGTGCTTGCATATACCGGAAACGCGAGCGAATCACGGCGATGTAAGTATAGCGGCAATAATTAGCAATAGTAATGATGGCGTAGAAGAGCAGCAGAATAGTTTAGTAATAACCGTATAATAGTAATAATAACAATATAGTATAACGGTAGTAATATTATTAGTACGGATAATAAAGAGTAATGGTGATATAGTTTAGTAACACAGCAGCGACAGTGTAATACCAATAGTATTAGCAATGATAGTAATAGTACAGCGTGTCGTGTGTTAATAAAAAATAATGACCATAGTAGCAACGTTTCAATTCCGTAATGAATGTCTTTCACGGTAGATTTTGAGATTACGGGATATGAACACAGAAATTCATGGAAATATACAAAGTAAATACCCTATTTTGATATTTTATCCGATATGCTCGAAATTATTTTACAGAAATCTCCTACATGTGCAAAATATATTTCTGCGTGTTGTTTTTCTGACTTTCATGTTTTAAAAATGCATTGTTTTAGTATGACACAATTTTCAAAACAATATTTATATCATATATTATACTTTTAAGCTATTTAAAGAATTAAATTTGAAATAATCCCGAGATATATAATTAAAACATTATCTATACATATAAGATATCACCGATAACTTGAAAAAAAAAAGAGAATGCGTTGCAATTGATGGTCAAATATTTTGCCAAAGTACTACATGAAAAAAAAAGATAGAAAAAAATAAGTAAAATCGTGAATATCAAGAGCAGCCATTGACGTATAGAAAGACTATTATAAATGGTGTTGACTTCGATCAATGATAATTCGATAACAATCGTAGCGCATTACGGGCAGACAAATTTATTGCGCGATATTACGGACCATCGTATGAGAGTTATACTTCGTCCAAGACATGTATCTCGTCGAGATGTAAATTGTGCGCGTGTGCAGCACGCGCGGACGTCACTTCCGGACCATTATTGTCGGTAACGGTATTAGATCGTAATTCACCTTCTTTTTCTCGAGATCCAGGACGCGCAAATTGGCAAGACTTCGGTTTAATTAATTGGCGTCGATCGGCGTGTTCGCGTTTAATAAATTCGATCAGTCGCGCGCGATATTGCCTCCGAAGCGGATTGTGTCAATTTTCGGAAAGTAATCACCGTTAGAGGTTTACGTTAAATTACATATAGACAGCCATTAGATTACATAAAGTGCTAAATTAGACAGCCATTATTGCTAACATTATTATTATTACTATAATAATACTTATTATTTAGTATTAGTGTTATTATTATATTTATTACTGAGGATCAATAGACGTTTTCGATCGACGAACTCTCGAGATTATCTTAACGATTTAATAGATACACAACGAGACCGCCTTGATAACGTTTACGGGCACTTACAGATTGCATCGAGATTGTTATTACGGAACACAAAGTATAATTATCGAAGACAGTAAATAATTATACTAATAAGCGATAAACTAACTAGAATTGATGCGATTAGTATTGTTATTGATATCATAAAATATAGAGTCGCGCGTATATTCGTCGATCTCACCAACGCGATGTAGTCGAATAAATAAGTAAATAGTAGAAATATATATATATCAATAAGTGTATTTCAGTATGCACAGGAAATTCTCGTTTTTTTTTTTTAATACGAAGCGTGTTATCGCTTTTATAAGCGTTCAATCTTATCGTTTCACATTTTATTCAATGTCACATTAGAACATTATCAATTTTCCCTTCGCGCGAAGCTACAAACTTAAAAATCTTATCTAAAAACAAGGAAATCAATAATAATAAAGTGAAATACGTTATAACGCGCGCGGTAACGGTAGAATGATAATACACTGAATCGTTCCACTATCGTCAAACATCTTATTGCATTGAAGATAAAGCCTCGCTTATATACTGAGCTTGAAATAAAAATTAATTAGAATTCAATCATATTTAAATTGGCAATTATTAAATGTTACTTTTAGGTAAATGTTGTTTCTTAGGTCGATAGAGATATGAATGTTTTTTTACCGTATGATTATTTTAAAATGTACCATTTCCTTACATAATTTGTAAAAACAAGATATCAGGCATTTTTTCTAAGCTGTTTATAAAAATAAAAGTTGAGTGCAAATTGTCAATGAAAACGCAGAATAAATAAAATCACATATGAATTTATAGCTTAATATCGAGAAACAGGAATCTTTTATCATAATTTTAATCAATTCACTCGAAGAATTTGAATCTCCGAACGGAAGTCTTAAAAATAATTCAAAGACGTCGAGAATCAAAAATAAAATTTTGTCTTTTCTTATATCTTAATATCGAAACAGGTCATTAGTTCTCAGTCAAGGGAGATTACTCGCACTTTCAAGAGAAGGAATCTTAAAAATAATTTAAAATCGCGAGGTAAAAGTAACATTTTGTTAAAAAGAGTATTCTTACGAAAAATAAGATGCCCCCAAATAAATACATAAATATTTTCCGATTATTATCGTTAAAATTGATTAATCGCTATATAGAACCTACCACGATCTTAATATATTTTCAGTTGATAGTTTTAATTTAATATCACGTCACATTTTAATACGTATCGCTTGAATTTTGGTTTCATTTTTTCGGTCCTATATTTCGTTCGAAACGAATATCGTTCGATAAGTCCTTCGATAAAGCGCGAAACGTTACTTGAAAAGAAAGATCAATCGGAGCCACGCTCTGCGCATTCTGTCGACGCATTCTAAATTTCGATTTTTAAGGAACAGGAGTGAGATATTAACTAGCACGCAACAAATATCACCCCTCTCGTTCCGAGAAGACACACCGACGGCATGTTCTCGATATAAGAACGAATTGCGAGAGGAAATCCCAGATGATCTAGGTCGCTGTATCAACGAGGATTAAAGTGCGGAGAAACGGAGAGAATTATATCGATAATCAAGGCAGACTCGGCAGACGCGCGATGGCGAAAAACTATGACGACTAACAAAGCACTACAAACTACGATAGAGCGATATTATACGGTTACACACAGTAGAAAAATAAGTATGAACGCTTACGGACTAAGATGGCATGTGATACACTTGTAATTTTGCAGACTATTCTCGTTTCCGGGAGCGACAGCCGTTTAAATTCTTTTTCCTTTTCCTTTTCTTTTTGGGGGGAATTAGGCTGAAGACACCACCCCCGGTTAATACGAACGAAACGAGGTAAAGGCAGGAGAGTAAGGGGGACGGGCAAAGAGTACTGTCTCAATCTACAGCGGAAAAATCGTCCCCGATGGTCGATGACTATGACGTGTTTCACTGGCGCGATAATGTTTCAAAGGAATAATCGAGGGATTTCGCGTCGATGCGCGAAACCCCGAATGAGGCGCGTGAAATCCCCGTTAATGAATGCTGGATATACATAGATTGCTGTAAATATACGTTTGTGTTGTACGAAAAGATTTATCGAGATACTTAATAAAACCCTTACCACCGGTTTCAGGTACATCAAAACACAGCAGAATGCAGCTAACTCTAGTAAAAACGACGTAATAAAAATTGAATAGCATAGTGCGTAAAAAATGAAATAAGCAGCATCACATCCGTAGAAGCGCGCTGCTGCAATTAAGAGTAAAATCTAAAATTAACGTACTTATTCGCGTGGGAAAGAGGGATAGGGGAAAGGTGGATCCCCGTTAATGAATGCTGGATATACATAGATTGCTGTAAATATACGTTTGTGTTGTACGAAAAGAGATTTACCGAGATACTTAATAAAACCCTTACCACCGGTTTCAGGTACATCAAAACACAGCAGAATGCAGCTAACTCTAGTAAAAACGACGTAATAAAAATTGAATAGCATAGTGCGTAAAAAATGAAATAAGCAGCATCACATCCGTAGAAGCGCGCTGCTGCAATTAAGAGTAAAATCTAAAATTAACGTACTTATTCGCGTGGGAAAGAGGGATAGGGGAAAGGTGGAAGGTGCGCGAATAAAATAGTACTATTTCGCGTAAAACGCGCACGTACTCAGGATTAATGCAAAAATACATAGCAGAATGACTGATTTCATCGGCCGTCACAAAGCGTTTCGGCGCGTATCGAATGAAGTCTCAAGAACAGAAGATGAATGAAAAATTGCAAGTAATCCTGACTTGCGGTCATATGTGTGTCCCAATAACATCCACGATCGTACGATTAGATATCTCGAGATATCAAGATGATACTTCATTCAGCGGTATATTAAACATGAACACTATAGAGCATACACAGACGAGCGTTAAACTTACGCGAATCACGGATATGTATAACTAGAATAAGATTTGTATAACTAAAGTGCGTTTAAGATTATAACTTACATCCTTATAGATTTGAGATTGAGTGGAACAGAAGATCGCGCGCGCGAGAGCCCTTCTTTTACAACCTTCCACGCGAGAGCGTAGTACTTTTGCCCGACGAATGAAAAGAAGATTAGAAAGGGGGAGAAGGGAAGGGAGGGGGGAAGAACGAACGGAGATAAAGTCTATAGAAGACGCATCCCTTTGGATTTCACGATAGTTCCCCGAAGAGTCTACTCTAAAACGCGAAATCTTATTGTACGCGCATCTTCGATTTCGCACATTTTTGGTCGTTTTCCCTATAACTCGCTTATTTTTTTTTTTTTTTTTTTTTTTTTTTTTTTTTTTTTTTTTTTTTTTTTTTTTTCTTCTTTTGCATTTTTCTCTTTTGTTGATTTATCCGCAAGACCTCCAAACACGTACACATTCCCGAATTATCCCTTACGTATGTAGAATTTCTCCTTAAATCTCTATATTATAGATACCTTAAGAACTACGCGAAAAAAAGGACAAACGCCAACTATACTCGTTAGAATGAACGTCTGTCTTATCGGACAAGACACGAGAATATCACATTGCAGATGTATATGTATGTGTATGTGTGTGGGTTATATATATATGTTAATTCTTCCTTTTTTAACCTTAATAACTTCGTGGCTTAAGAGCTAAGGAGTTCTTATATCGAGTTTTACACTTTACGACGACAATGGGCGTGAGCATACGATGTGTGCGTATATACGTACATACATACGGAATACCAATCTTTTTCTTTTTCTTTCTTTAATTTTTCAATCAAGATCGATCACTTCGCATTTTGATATTCATCTCGATAATCGCAACGAGAATAAAACGCAGCACGGAGATTATGCAACGAAGTGTACGAGGACGAAGAATTGGAGCACCGGATTTTTCAATTTGACAGTTCGCACGCGTATATATCTCCCGCTTTAAAGATATTATTACTATGTTGGTGTGTGTTATAACTATCGAGAGAAGAATAAATAAAGCTAGAAAATTGTGGAGTTATATCGTAGACATAATAACAATGTATGCAATTAAATTATATTTATTACAACGAATTTAAGTCTTCGAATTTTACTCTTTATTGCCCTTTTATTTTCTACTAGCATTCTGTTAGAACACGTACTCCGAATACCTATCCACGTACGAAGCATCTGGAATAATATTTTACGCGCGTATTCTTTTTTGCGAGAGTGAGAGATCGCAGTGACTCTCTCTCTTTCTTTCTCTCTCTCTCTCTTTCTGATTTTCTTTTTCATTATCCAAATAATATATCGAAGATACCGGAAAAAAATCGATCCATCGGTTAATCGCGATCTGTAATTCTGTAAATTTCTATAGACTGGATACTTCTGCGATTTTCTTTGTGACAGACTTATGATAGACCGAGCGATGGATTCTCATATTTTCACTGAAAGAACGATTTCGCGTTCTATGTTTCTTTCTTAATATCCCTTGTCAGAGATGACAGTTGTAAGCCAAATTATGGCTGTTTCGTGTACACGCATGAAAAGATAAAATAAAAAAAAAGAAAACAATAACTTAGTCTAAAGCGTTTATTTTCTTTTATAGACCAGAAGGATATGTAGGATATGTAGTTTTTGAACGACTTGTAATGTCGATCGTATTTGGATATTGATACAAGAGAACTGACTATCATTTTTCAATTATGAACGCTCATCCCGCTGTACAAGAAATTTTGTATTAATAACTTTTCTTCTTTTAATACATCCGCAGGATATTCAGTCTATAAGACTCAACTTTAATTACAATAATGGCATACACGCTTCGCAATAAAACTTCGTTTTGTGCGAGAGGAATTGACTCTTATGGATATTTTCTTTTGCGTGCGCCAGTGTATGTGTGAGATTAAATATCGCATTACGTAAGATTGAATCATTTCAATAAACCGCAGATTAATTAGCTACCATTGATCCTTGAAGGATCAATAAAAGCTACTTTGGCCTAATAATATTTCACTAGAAATTATTTCTCGATATCATATATAAACATAAAAGCCGATAAATATTTTATTATTTGCAAAATATAATTTAAATAAAACGTATTATAAGCGTTTCTAAAGTAACTATAACAAACATATTCTGAACGAGATTAATTTCTTTCTTTATATAGCTAATTAAAGTTCATTGTTTTAAAATGCTTAATATCAAAGTCTTTGCAGCGGTGATATAACACTTTATCCGATTTTTAATACAATCATTTTACGTGGACCCGTAATACAGCCAATTTTTTCTTTCCAAACTATTTTAAAATTTCCTCTGTTTCAAATCAACCTGCTTTTCTTCCAAACAAAATTCTTTTGCTATACTGTTTCCCATTATTCACAGTCACACGACTATCGCGTTAGTGAATAAGTGACAAAACGCACGACATTTTTATTCTCTGCATACAAATATCACTGAAATAAGAATCGTTATGTTCAGAAAAAATTTTCGAATAAAGGAAATAATCGACGAGTTCGGAATAGAGAAAATCGATTGTATATTAAAATTGGCATGTTACAACTATTAAGAATATATAATAAATATATAATTCTCTCTCTCTCTTACAAGCTCGCACTTGAAATCGGCACAAACTCGGTCCTAATATTTATATACGATCCATATACACTACTGCCTAATAACTGTTTAATAGACAAATAATCCCGATCTCGAAAATGCTTGGTTCTAAAATGTTATTCCCACACAGTTATTCGCATACAAAATAAATATCCAGATTTATAATTTGTTTTTTTTTTTTTAAATGTTAATTAAAAGAGCCAATCCATTAATGCAATTTTTTTTCTTCGCACACACGTCCGAATGTCCTATTTAGTCTCTTTTTTTCACGTAGATTTTTTGGATAATAGTTTTTCTCTTTCTTCTAATAAGCACCACATGTCTTTTATTCGCATAGAAAATAACATCGCAAAATTTATAACATCACGTATTGAGTCACATATAAGAATTGATATAATTGACAATATAATACTTAAAAATAAGGGAGAAGAGCTCTGTTTTAATCAGAAATAGTATAAAACGCAGATTGAGACTAGATTTGATAAGACTGAGATTTGTTTTTACATTGTATCAATACAATTATAGGTAAATTTGGATTTGATATCCCGAGTAATTTTTAGAGCTCGATCGTCGATACAAGATTAATATCATGCTAAATGTTAATTAAAAGAGCCAATCCATTAATGCAATTTTTTTTCTTCGCACACACGTCCGAATGTCCTATTTAGTCTCTTTTTTTCACGTAGATTTTTTGGATAATAGTTTTTCTCTTTCTTCTAATAAGCACCACATGTCTTTTATTCGCATAGAAAATAACATCGCAAAATTTATAACATCACGTATTGAGTCACATATAAGAATTGATATAATTGACAATATAATACTTAAAAATAAGGGAGAAGAGCTCTGTTTTAATCAGAAATAGTATAAAACGCAGATTGAGACTAGATTTGATAAGACTGAGATTTGTTTTTACATTGTATCAATACAATTATAGGTAAATTTGGATCTAATATCCCGAGTAATTTTTAGAGCTCGATCGTCGATACAAGATTAATATCATGCGTGGTTCGTATGTATTTGTGTGTGCGTGTATATATTTCAGGCCTAATACTATTGCCTAATAATCGAAGCAATCCGCAAAACAAGAAACTGGATAATCCTGAATAATAAAGTACGTAAAGCACTTTATGTGATTAAAAAAGTACTTTGCTTAAAACATTTTCATTAATTATTTGTCACAATAATATTTAACAAAACTTCCAACGCGAGATATTGATTCGTTTATCTTCTAAATTAACTGTTTGTCAAACAATTTATCTAATAATGTCGAGTTTTCTCCAATTAATTAAATTTTCTTTTTTTTTATGTGTATTAATTGCAGATAGAACAGTAACATACAAGAAAATAGCTGACTTACATTAACGCGAACTTAACTAGCCAATTAATTAGTTAACTATCGATACAATTTAACATAACGAGCGCGAAACCGTTTGATATTTCTCTTTAGAAGGCAATGTTTCGATATCTCTTTTTTATAGCATTTCTTTTCATCATTGAGATAAGACGGATTCCGATATACAAGTAGAGAAAATGCATCGATTGTACATATATATATGAATATTAAATAAATGATTCTATTATTATAGAAAATGTGCGGTACAACTAATGCGATGCAACAACAATATATTCAATATACTCGAGCAGACTGGCTAAAGTAACAACCGATATTGTCCTATATTTACGCGACGTAGTACGCAATTATGTAGAAGCACACGTCGGTATGTATAATTAACAGATAAACTTGAGGATAATTTCCTGCGACCCGGAATCGAGCTTTGGGACTAATTGCAAGCACAATGATGCTTTCCTAAACAGCGTATGATTATTCATTATTGATATCATCGGGCATGAGTGGATCTCTCTTATCGGATTCGTCCCTCATCCTCCTCGTACTATCTCTCGATCTTCTCGAAAAAATAAATCGGGCTTGTTTTCATCACAATGATTGCAAAGCATATTTCTGAACATCGTTAAGTCGGCTCGAAATTGCAGTTTGACTATGCGTGTAGAGATCCGAGTAAGATTTAAGCGAGTTAAGATTTCAAGTGATATCAGATAGAGAGAGAAAGCAAGAGAAAAGAGAGAAAGAGAGAGAAAGAGTGGACTCGCAATAATTTGCGAGAATTTCGCTATAATTTGACGTATTTTATAAACGCGGTCTAATTAGATAATTTCATTTCCAAGATTTTCATTTTGCTTCAAAGATTGTGATTTCAAACGACTTGCTATGTAAGAAATGTCAACGTAGTTTTTGATGCACGCAGGAGATAGTCGGTCGCGATTGACTAAGACTATCATCAGCCTGAATCGCAATTATGGCTTAGGAGAAATGATATATAGATCTGCCTTATATAAGTTAACGATATTCCAGTACTATCGTACGATGACTAATATTGTACGAGAGCTACAGAGTTCCTATTGCGCTATAATACTACATAAGCTAAGTGGTATAATACGGATGATATACTTATAGAACGTAAGATTGTAAATAGATTTTTTTTTTTTATGCTGTACTTCAGGATCACGGCTGTAGAGAATCGCGACTGTCAGACGCGGCTCTATCAAGAATAGGCGAATCACCCTAACGACGAGATTGCCGTCGCGGAAAGAAATACTGACTCGTCTAATATAAAGGTTTCGTTATGATATTGCAGTCCCCTCGCAGCAGTAATCCACTTAAAAAAATCACACGAGATAAAGCGATAATGTTCACTCTTGCGAGTCAAATGCTATTAAAAAAAAAAAAAAAAAAAAAAAAAAAAGAAAAGAAAAAGGAAGGAAAAAGTCAAAGCATACAATGATCAATCTTACATAACGCTCAAAAAAAGAAGGCACACACAAACAAGAAATATCATTTGCATAAAATTATATACATATCAGTGAGGCGCAATGACGGTGTAACGGCAGTGCTATTCGTTTGCAGTGTTTTACATAAGCATCTCTTGGTAAATTATTGCACATATACATACCACACACACACACACACACACACACATTATACACGCATGCATACTCGCGTGTAATATGTAATGAGGGAGTAAAATACTATCGTATAAGATTATTTGTACTATTGTATTGTGAATTGATATGGAACAAGTTAATTCATATAAGTGCAAATTTTTTATGTTCGAAACAATTGAAATTATTGAGATAATATTTTATATATTTATATCAAGAGGATAAACATTTGAGTTTTTTTTTTTTTTTTTTTTTTTTTTTTNNNNTTTTTTTTGAAATGGGGTGCAATCTTCGAAAGTATAAGTTTTACTTCCGTCAAGAATATCTCCGTACGATACGCATCGAGTAATGGTGTTTTAATTTTTAACACATTTATCTTTCAGATTCATCTTATATCAATCTTATATCAGAAATATTAATGCAGTGAGCAATATATTAATTAAAAAGCACTACCATTCCACCATCATTATCGCTATATAGTGAAGTGTTTCCGGCCAAGATCAAATATCCTATGTGAACTATTCCAATATTCTACTTATTATTTACTTTATCATTCTTGTTAAGTTACAAAAAAAAATCTAAAGATTGGTTATTACAGTTTTTATGTGCACTTATTCATGAAATCAAAGTACAATTTAATTTATAACGTGTTGAAGATTTTCGTAATTAGTACTGCTGTAATTTTAAAGTCTTACTCCTCTAGAACATTTGGCAGGTACAGAGACACATCCTATATGAGACGGCCTGTCCGACCCTGTGTATTACCATAAACGTATGTAATCCTTTCTGAAGAAGATAAGCCCTCTTTCTTTAAGCATCTCTATACGTATATAAAATATCTATTAAACTTAAAACTTAGCCTAAATATTGACTGCATAAATATTCTGTTTTATATAATATCAATGAAATAAAATAATTGTATAAAATCAATAGAGAGAGAACACGTTTGTAAAAATTGATTTTTCAAGTTATCAATTATTTCATTTTATTTTTTAACTCCGACGATTAAATAAATCGATAAATTATAAATTGATTATATTATTAATTGATTATATTATTAATAATGTCAAAATTTCATCTGTGATTATGCTTACTTTTTGAAATATTTAAGGGTCTTCAAAATTCTTCTACATTCTATATATGTACAAATCAAAAAAACAAATTATACAAATAAAATCGTGTGCAAGTCTCACGCTATAAGAATCAAAATAATTTAAGAGCGCTTTTTCTCCGTCCCCGTAAACCTATTTTTTTCCCTTTTCTGCGTTTTTTATTTTTTGTTACTTTTCTATTTTAAAACAATTGTTTTGTATCAGACGTATAAGATGTGTGCGTGTATACATGCGTGTATACGTGTCAATGAATTTAGTTATTATCTTACATCCGCTAATCAGTCCATTTTCATCAAATTTATTTATTTATCATCTCGCGATTGTGTATGTGTATATATGACTGTGCACATATATGTATAGTTATCATGTGAAATGTATCGAATAATGAAAGGCAACGAGTCGGAAGGACTAAAGTTAACTTGCACTAGATTACATTTAAGCGATAGGCTGCACGTCGGTTGTTAAAAATGTTATCGTTTAAAAATTTTAAAGCTCCCTCTCATATTATTCCCTTATTATCTTATTATCGCATTAAAAGTGTACGCGCGCACTGTACATGCATGTATGAATAATATGATTGTGTAAGAATGTGCATTACTCTTTGCACGCAATGCCGCGTAATTACCGCGTGCTTCGTTTTACAACTATCGCGATGATCGATCAATCGTATTTTAGTTAACTGTATATGCCGTATATACGCACAAGTTTTACGTACGCACATTTATAAATACACATTTTAAGCCTTTTTCGAGAGCTTTTATATATTTCTACATATATAAAAGAGTCGATAGTATATTTCATTTAAATTCCACTTATTCTTGAGTTATCCTAATCTCCACCTGATCTTTTACTAACCGTTATTATAGTTATTATTATTATTATTATTATTATTACTATTATTATTATTATTTACCTATTACCTATTATATACGCGTAATTAAAATGTATTCATTAAGCAATGGTATTAATATTGAAATCAAATGTATTCTATGCATTGGATTATTCACACCATATGGTGTGCGTATGTATATGTGTATGTATGTAACGTAAAGACCCTAAATACCTAAATACCATCTATATATCAATCACTGTTATCACAACAAATTCTAATGTTTTTTTCTGATCTTATCTTGGCTAACTCGGAGAAAAGTTCCCCTTTGATTCTCAAAAGCAATAATTTTCGTTCGCAGTAAATATTATTCGATATCTCTTTGCTTCTCGTCGCCCTCCGCTGCTAAATTAGCGCTGCATCAATCTATCTTGCACTTAAAGCCGAGGCAAACAAGTAAACCATTGTAATCAACAGACATGTCTACATGGACCGTGCTGAGAAATGCAAACGCGAATTCCTCGCGCATTCCACTTTCATACCTCGCTCCATTTTGCGAAAGCGAGCAATTATACTCTATCACATTCATACTATATTCGTTCATTCCTTCACTCCCTTGTTTTCTCTTATTTTGTGTCCTCCTTTCCCGTCTTTCTCCCCCTGTTTCCTCATTGATATTATCTCTCACGTGTACATTCTGCCTCATTTATTCTCCTCTCATCCTTCCCTGTCTCTACCTTTCTTTCTCACAGTCTCTCTGCCTTAACGCTCATGAATACATTTAAGTCTTCAGACACTTATATTCTATTATCTTAAAATCTACATTTCAGAAACGTTAGAACGCCATTGTAGTTTTGTCAACCCTTTTAAATAGCTTATCTTTTAACCTATCCTTTAACCTATCTTTTAAAGTAATTATTAATCAAATTTTTAGTTCTAGCATATTACTTAGCAAACTTCGTCAGAGATTACCACCAACGAATTATTATATTGTTGTCTCGTTATTAGTATGATAATTCACATTCATATATATATATATATATATATATATATATATATATATATATATATATATATATATATATGTACATATATGTATATATAAATTCATAGTTTATAGTTATCGTAAGAGTGCATCATATATGTAAGTTTATATTATAATTGTCCTTATATCTTAGCACAGTTCTTTGTCGTACTCTCACTCTCTCTTTTACACTTTGCTACACTTTGTTAAGTAAAATGTCAGGATACCATACATATACATATTACATACATATATGTATGTACAGGTATGCTGTTTGTGTATGTGTACAATATAATAATGTATGAGATATATTTATGCATATATATATATCGTACTCCTTAAAACAGGCTGTCGCGCAATTCAAGAAATGCAACTCACAATCCAAACATTTTTTTTTTTTTTTTTTTTAAATTCTGTCTATATAAATTCTTCGCTTAGAGATTTGTCGTATAATTCTGATCTGAAAGACAACAAAAAATTCATTTTGAATTAGAAATACGTAACTTTAATTAAAACTTTATTTTAGGCAACTTAAATACGCTAAGAGGCATACTAAATAAGATCAATTAGACACAGTCGATAGATAAATGTAATAGATGCAATCTATTAGTAAATTTAAGCAATCGCATATATATATGTTACTTTCATTACATATTTTTAAATATTACCATCTTAAATATTATCGTTTTTATTTTTTTCTGTGTTTATCTTGTCATTTTAAAACGTTAAGGAATTTATTTCCTCGATTTGCGCGGCAGTCCTTTCTTTAGGAGTACGATACAATTATGTATAATCAGCGCTTTCACTACTTCATCATTTTTTTTTCTTTTCTTTTCTTTTTTTTTCTTTCGCTTTGCAACTGAGGAGCTCATATAGTCGTCATAATCGTACCGTCGTGTTCTTTTCCGCTTCCTCTTGAATTCTATCTACGTTAGACAGTAATTATGAATACTTCTTAAATTATGCATTCTTACGAAAATATTAAAATTAAGCATTACGTAACAACACTGGCCGACAGAGTCGAGGCGACATGATCGGCGGAACCGCGCGGATTCACATCGCGGATACATCGCGAACCGATGCACCGGTATTTTCGTCATATAGCACGTGAGAAACGTGGCTCTTTTTGATGATGTGTCTCCTACAAAGCAATCATTCTCTCGCAATCTCTCCCTCTCTTTCTCTCTCCCTCTCTTTCTCTCTCCCTCTCTCTCTCTCTCTCTCTCTCTTTCTCTCTCTCGGAAGGCAAGATATAAAAATTTCCAATGTTTTTTTTTTTGATTTACTGGTATGCCAAAGTATAACGGTCCGGCATCCGCGAGGATCGACCGATCGCATGGAAGCGGCGATAATCATTGTCGACCAATGCTACTGTGTACGTTTCCTTAGCTTGGCGTGTTGACATTTGCAAGCATGCAGGTTCAGTCATGCGTGGCAAACGTGTGTAATCAGCATGTGTGTATATGTAATTGTTCACACTTTTATCGCGCGCGGCTCGCGTCTTGTGATTGTGTTTCTTTCCTTCCTTCTATTTATATATATTATATATATCTTGTTCTCTTTCTATGTCTCAATTGACGAAGGAAAAAAAGCCGTCTCTTTCACATCTTTCGCGGTTTTATGCCCACTGATTGATCGCGAAACGTTTCCAAAATTCCGCGCCGACACGCGGAGAAACGGAAAGACAAAAAAAAAGAAAGAAACTGTTGTGCATGAGTAAATAACAGTTCGCTTGTTCGTCGTTTGGTTATCAGTCCATTCAGGTACCTTTGACGTTGAAGAGAAAAACTAATTTAAATTCATCCTAGAGACTGTGAGCTCTCCGCTCGACAGTATATGCGCCCGTAATAAATGCCATCCATTCGTAACATCGCCATTTACTCACATTGCGATCTTACGCGGACCATTGTGATTACTGTGAGTTCGAAGTATCATCATTAACAAGAGAAGCGTAATATACTACATACGCAATAATCGGTATGTAGTGTCCATTACTTGTCTTCATGTTTATTTTTCATGTATACTGCATATTTTCAGCCGCTTTATTAGCCGTTTGTATCAGCACTTTCCTCGGTCTTTCTCAACGCTTCGTGCTCTAATCGCTTCATCTCGTTTTTTTTCCATTTCTCCTTATCTCCTGTTTATCTTCTTTTTTTTTCATTTAAACTCTACGTTAATAAATGGTAAAGAGACACACTGGACATTGGCACGACAGGTGGCATCTAGATTTAATATAGAATAAAATTTACGTTATTGCGATAACATTTGGTATCGTTGCGTCGTTGCCCAGTTGATCTAATATCCCTGCATTCCTCTCGTTTCTTCCACATTCGTGGGGGGTCCGGAGCGCAGTGGGGATTGGAAGTCGGGATAGAACACCAGGCAGCGACGTCAATGCTTGTTTTTTAAGGTTTTTTTTTCTTTTGATTAGATTGATACAGTCTACATTTGATACTCGCTGCAGTCTTCGGAACTGTCCAGCAAAAAATGGAACACTCTTTGACCTGATCAGAGACCCTCGACGATAAATCTTCATTGAGAAAAGCGCCCTTCCTTCCCAGTAAAACAGCACAAAGAGCGCAGATAGTTTTTTTTTCTTTCTCTTCTCCTCTCTTGTCTACGTTTTATCTTGATACATGCTTATTAGATTGGCTTAGAACGATGAGAACGCCATTTTGTCGTTACATATCGTGGCAGATCGCACGCAGTACACGCACCAAGAGATTGATGAAAAGACCGTTGCGATTGGTATAACTTGACCTAACTTGATCTTCTGTAATCCGTAAATCTTTTGGTGATATTCCTATCTCCTTGGAGTAATGACGCGACCGCATTCGTACTTACAAGTACCTTCGTTTTTATTAAGTGTTTTTGATGAATGTATATGTGTGTGAGTGTGATTTGTCATGTAAAATTAGATATCTATCGCACAATTTGGTTGTATACCACTGTGATTATTTCGCTTACGCGTGTTTTCTACTCAAGGCGGATACGAGGGTAGTAATTTCTTTGTTAAGTAACTCGTTATAGTAATTGCATTTCCTAGCAATATAATTGACGTTTCGTGAAGACCTCGTCCGTCTCATTTCCTTTCGTTCTCTTTTGCGCACACGCACACACACGCACACACACGCACGCGCACGCACGCACGGGCGCACATACATACACTTCCTCCCCCTCTCTCTTTCTCTCTTTCTATCACTCTCTCACAATTCTCCCTTCCTTTCCCTCTTCCTCTCATACATTCGCTCTTTCTTATCATCGACAGAGTATACATGTATACATATATCTTGTATCCACTCTAACCAAAAACACCGATCGATAACGTGATAATACTTGAATATACAAAATGTGATCTAAGAGAAATAAGGGGGATCGGAAGGGGAAGTAATACGCATTCAATCACGAAATTTGCGTCAGCCGAGCTGCATCTTTGGACTTGCGTCATAAGCAAGTGAATTTGTTCACTTATTTGACAAGATTTCGGGCGGATAGACTCTCGTTCTCTACATCGACTCACCTCCCAGAAGATCTCCGGGTAAATACGAGTTGAGACCTCGTCCGTCTCATTTCCTTTCGTTCTCTTTTGCGCACACGCACACACACGCACACACACGCGCGCACGCGCACGCGCACGCACGCACGGGCGCACATACATACACTCCCTCCCCCTCTCTCTTTCTCTCTTTCTATCACTCTCTCACAATTCTCCCTTCCTTTCCCTCTTCCTCTCATACATTCGCTCTTTCTTATCATCGACAGAGTATACATAAGCAGATATATCTTGTATCCACTCTAACCAAAAACACCGATCGATAACGTGATAATACTTGAATATACAAAATGTGATCTAAGAGAAATAAGGGGGATCGGAAGGGGAAGTAATACGCATTCAATCACGAAATTTGCGTCAGCCGAGCTGCATCTTTGGACTTGCGTCATAAGCAAGTGAATTTGTTCACTTATTTGACAAGATTTCGGGCGGATAGACTCTCGTTCTCTACATCGACTCACCTCCCAGAAGATCTCCGGGTAAATACGAGTTGAGAGAACTGGGAGTTGCTCGTTGCTGGTCACTGTTGTCTATCCCGGCATTGCTCCACAGGGAATTGCTGGTGGGCGGGGCGCCCCAGAGCTGACTAGAACTGCCTCCCCATGTGTCGGGCGGCGGGCCAGCTTTGTTAGTTGGTCTAAGGCCCCAACCGGCTCCGCCGGAACCACCGGCCTGTTGTTGTCCGCCGTGGCCGAGTTGCTGCAGAATCGTGTGCACCTCGCTCTCTGCGGGCGACTCGGCAAATATCGTTGTGTTACCCAGGACGCAATTGTTTAGGGCTCCTTGTGCCTGAAAAAAGAAAATTGACAGTTCCATAATATATTTCAACCATTAAAGCAAAACAAAATTTATGAACACAAATACTATATATCGCAATAATCTGAACAAATTTCAATATAATTCCGTATTTTTTGGGGGTATTCACCTTTATTGCCTCGTCGCGAGAAGAATATTTCGTCAAAGCAATTCCATGATTCTGGTAAAGACGGAAATCTTGAACCGGTCCATGTTGCATACATAATGTTTTCAAGGTGGAACCGTCAATTTGTGGAGTAAGATTCTTCAGTAGAAGCCAAGTAGACATCCAACTCGAATTGCTAACCGACGACGATTGAAGACCCCACGAACTGGACGATCTACTGACACTTCCTAAGCCGGCTCCCCAGCCGTTGCTTGCGTTCGTAGCCCCTTTACTACCCAAGCCAGGAGGTGGACCGCGCGCTTTGCTCATTGGTGCACCCCATAGTTCCGAAGTCACAGCAGTTGGCGGAGGAGCAGACTCTCCCCATGTATTCTTGGAAGTGCTGCAACAAATTGAGCTTTTATAACTGTACATTCAATAATATAATATATATTTAGGTAGAACAATTACCTAGTAAATGCACTAGGTGTGGTAGCTGGTTGATTAAATCTCCGCGTAGAATTACTTAGACTCGG